CATAACAATCAGATCTCTTTCAACTCCGACGGCAATGTTAGATTCAAACATTAAATTCTTTCGTTCGGCGGCAAATCCCAACATTTTGCTAACATCTCGTACCACAACCGACAAAGAGAATTGGACTTCTTCAATGTCTAATCGGCCAGATTCAACCTTTGAGAAATCCAAAATATCGTTAATAACTGTGAGAAGTGCGTTCGCAGAACGTTGGATGTTTTCAGCACACTCTTGTTGTTCTTCATCGAGATTCATATCAGTCAGAAGCTCGGCCATTCCAATTACACCCGCAATGGGTGTTCTGATTTCGTGACTCATGTTGGCGAGGAACTGACTCTTCAAACGACTTGCTTCTTTGGCAGCGGCTTCGTTGGCGAGAAGTCTTGTATTCTCTCTTTCTTGCATCTGGAGGTCGTTTTCTCGATCCTTGATCTCTGTGATATCCATAGATAATCCAATTACACCATCAATGAACGCTTCATTGATGTGGCCGCCCCCGTCTTTCTTACCTAGAACGGGAACGAATTTTGTTCGATACCATCTATTGTCGATCACGTGTTCCTGCATATCTTCCATTGTCTTTCCAGTCAATATATCCTCAATTGGTTGTAGTGAAGAAGGAATCATGTCATGTCGTTGCCTTTGATTATTGGGGTGCGAAAAGACTTCATAGACATTCCTTCCAATATAATCACTTCCCTTAGCTTTACCACTACCGGCCACACTCTCATCGCTAGATCCTACATCGCTGTCAAGATCCCATATGAAAGAGCCTTCGAGGAGATTGATTTTACGATGTCGATCCACTGAGAACAGTGTGACTTGAGCATGTGTAATGACGGACAGTAATTGTTGACGAAGTCGTTTAGCTTCGAATCTCGACATGACAGCTTCATGGATATCCGTGCATGTTCCATACCATTTTTGGATTTTGCCAGTATCTTTATTTCTCATACAAACAGCTCGTCCGAGCATCCATCGCCATTCTCCATCATATTTTCTGCAACGGTATTCGGTGGTATAGGGATCGCCAGTCTCTAGACAATGCAGCCAGCGCTTCTTTGTCAACGCCATGTCATCTGGATGGAATGGCAATTTCCAGCCCTCACCCAGAGATTCTTCAGCAGTTAAGCCTGTGTAGTCATACCATCGCTGACTAAACCAGTCATGCATGCCATCGGGAGTGGTGGTCCAAATGAGTTGTGGCATACTGTCACAAATTATTTGGAATCTCTGCTCATCAGCCTCTTTTATTTCGGCAATCTGTTGTGTCACAGCTGTGATATCCCTACAAGTAACAATGCCAGCCAAAAACTCGCCAGTATCTGGATCTCGAACTGCTTCTCCTGCACAAAGGGTCAACTACATTTCGTGTTGTTCTTGAGGGCCTCTTCATACCTAAACAATCATATAGAATCTTTTCCCCAGTATCAGGGTCATACACCCCGAGCAAGCGGCTAGAAAACGGTGTTTGTGTTCTGACGAGAACTGAGATGGGATATTCTGCCGGATCTAGAGCCTCTGTAAAATCATGATTATAGCAATGCCACTTTTGAACCAAATCAAACCCTATGGGATTGTTAGCATTGCCATTGAAACATCAAGAGTTGCACAATTATACCAGTTTTAACGGTTGACATGTCGGCCTCCCTCGCAAACAGTCTCCTTGCAGCTTTATTCGGTATCGTCAAGCTTTCATCCTTCCACATGGCCAGAATAGGAACTTCTGTGTTATCCAACAGTGCATCTTTTAACACAATTACTTTCTGTAGGATTGACGGGGCTCCTGATTTATTGACGCGAGATGGAGGACCCAAAGGTGGAAACGGAGAAGATGACATGGGTGCATTCGTAGGACTAGTAATCGCAGAAGAGCCACTAGATCCCTGACTTGAATCATGATTGGAACCATGTTCAGAGCTTGCGGATGATGGGTTTGAACGTGATAGAGTGCTTGAAGATTTGGAGCCATTACTAGAACCTATTTTGAACTTCGGGTTGTGAATCTTTCTCGAGCTTCGCTTCGGGCTAGGTAGTCCAGATTGATTAGTTTCAGTACTCGTGAAGGTCAAGAGAAAGTATTTTTCATCTTCGATCTCGAAAATACTAATGATCATCTTGGCATAAGAATCTGTATTCTGTTTAGCTCGATATTCCACGTACGACGTAGTGATCGAAGTGAATCTGGTAAATAGAGGAAGAATGTTTCTGAGCTGACTGTACTGATATGACAATTCTGCTCAAAGTGTCCGAGAAAAAGTATTGGACATCAAAGCCAACATCCGGTCGTCATGTTTAAATAACGAGCAGTAAAATGGTCTTCAGAAGAAGCCTGAAAAGACATCAAAATGCATGGAGCAAAAAATGTCGCAAGAATACTTACGTCTATCTGCCATTTTCTTAGCCGTCCGTCCTGCAAAAGTGGATGCTGTGATCGACCCAGCTGTGATGACAACTTCCACTACCGCATCATGAACCATGGATGTCTTCTTCTCAGCGTTCGTCGCAAATCGATTTTGAGGATCGGCTCTTTCTGCAGTTGGTGTCACATCTCCTTCACATTCCGAAGACACCGTTTCTTGTGCATTGGCATGGACATTGATTTCGTCGCCCAGACTGTCCAAGAACAAATCCCAGGTAACCCATACCGGCTTGAGATCTGACATCATGTCAATACCCAGTTGGGCAAGAGTTTGACCTTTGTATCGTTCCGCCGGTTGTTGGTCTTCTTCTGCTTCACTTTCGCCATCATTTACACTCAGTAGCCTCGCTGAGGCTTCGTTCGCGAGAACCACCGTTTTGGAGCCATTCAAGACAATTACAGGGTATGGCAGATAGTGTATAGCCGAAAATGCTACATCAGCAGGTGAAACCATTCCCGGTATGTGTAGATGCAAATTGCTACTCTGACCGGATCCTCGTCGCCCATTCATGTATTCCTGGGCTTTCAAAGCATCCAATCCATCAATTTGCCCCGGAGGCATATGTAAAGGTGACATCGGTCGCTCATAGTCTGATACTGGGGTGCCTTTCGCGGTTTCATTTGGCGATACCAGGGGAGGAGGGAGGTCGATGTGGGTAGGGTGGTTGTCGACAGCCATGATTGAATAAGGACTCGGCGCGATGTTTGTTTGTGGTTTCTTCAAGATATCCAAACTTCCCCCAATCTCGCGATCCCATCCGATATTCTCGTCGAGTGTATGTATTCACTCTTCGCAGATTTTTCGTGGTTTAACGCCGCTAAGACGTCATTTTGTTGATAATAGGTGGTAGAATAGGGATTTTGAGGCTGTCGCCACGTCAATCTGAGACGACTATCAATTGATTCAATCGTGCACACAATTAGGTACCTAGGTATAGAGTCTGGTTTCGAAAAGATGATATTCGCAAGGACGGATAGATTAGATTGATAGGTAAATTCATTTGATCAAGGAGGAAAAAGGAAACAAAATTTCACATATGAGTTTGTTCGCTGGGTGGTTGGATGGCTGAATCCGGATTTTGAAAATGGACTAAAACGGCGTTAGAGCAAGCTTGATGCTTTTTTATCGACCTAGACTCGAGACTAGAAGGATTTGGAACAGAAGGAAAAAAAAATAGCGGAGAAGAGAAATGGAGTAAAAGATTTAGGACAGTTGATCATTTTCATTTGCTCGAGTCATATATATGTACATTGTGCCTTTTATCGTATCGACTGAGATTTGCTGTATATCCTTGTTTTGAATAGCTGGTACACATCAATTTGGGTATATACTCTGTGTTCTGAGTGAAGTCTGAGTGAGTCTGAGTTGAACATCATCTCCAGCCAGATTGAAGTGAAGTTTGGTGATGAAGAGTGAAGAAAGCCATAAAATCATTACCCACCTGCCTAGTCCGTACTTAGACACCCAGACGCCTAGACAGATAATCTAGATTCTAGATTAAGAACTTTGTAACCTACTCACCTGGATCCCTTGACCTTGTGTACAGATACAAAGGGCCAATATACTGCACAGTCTCGAGACAGTCAAGCATCTGTTGAACATATACATACGTGTACGAGTATACACACATACACATACAGACATACCGACCTACCTCGGTATCTATGATTTCGGTTTTTACGAGAATGACTTGAGATTTAATAAGGTTTGATTATCAGATCCGTTTTCATCGTGTAGTGGGTGGCCATGCCAAAAAGTCAAAGCGAGTGATGAATGAATGTGTGGGTAGGTATGTGTGGTGTAATACCGGTAGCTCGTGTTCCTTGACCCTCCTTCTTGACCCTCCTTCTTGACCCTCCTTCTTGACCCTCCTTGACCCTCCTTCTCGAGTTGAAAGAAGCCATCAGCCTCTCACCTCCGTCTATCAGTCTCTCAGTCTCTCGAGAATACCTCGGATCCCGGTCGATAACCTGTACGCTGTGATCAAACGTGATAACTGTACGAAACGTCCCATCACTTCTTTTCACCAGTGTGAAAATGGCTACAATAATGTGCGTAGTACCCGCCCTCACTACGGTAGATCATGTGAAATTGATCCATGCAAGCAAGCAAGCATAAAGAAATCGAAATTTTTGAGTTGCCGAAAGGGTCTCAAAGAGGAGAGGATCGAAGAGGGTCGAGAGGGTCAAGAGGGCCAAGAGGGTCTCTCTACCAAGTACGAAAGAGGGGTCCACAGTGTTGATCGGTCGGGTATTTATTTTGATTAATATTATGTGGGTGGGAATCTACAAAGTCGTGGAAGCCGAGGAAGCATAGAAATCTCAGCAGCGATGTGAATCATGTGATGGATACTATTGATACTGGTATTGATGATCCTGTGGAGAAAGGGCTCCCTAGTACCCGGTAGCTTGTCTATCATATCTCAATCTAATCTAGGGATGTGTAAGGGTATCTTCTAAAAGGTCCCTTCAAATTCCTGGTGTACTGGGTACGTATTAGATAAGCAAGCATTGAATGGCCTTGGAATGAAGTGGGGGTTGTTTAGCATCGCTCGAGGTGGCGAGGTATGTTTGTTATCCATCTTTACGAGGTACCGGTACCGGTAGATGTTTGTACCAATTTATATGGATTATATTTACCAGGTGAGGATTGAAACTTGATTCCATGGTGTTATAAGAACTGTCACACTCCCACATAGAAATTTAGTAGGTACATAGTAGTGAGTGCTCTATCATTCCAAAAGTAGGTAACCTTAGATAATATTATCTAATATATCACGTGATACCTACTTAAGGTCATCAATGGAAAGGTAAAGGATGCTTGAAGGGTGAAGGCTAAGTCGGTTACCCTACTTTCGGGCCACCAGGGTTTGGGCCACCCTTTCACACCAAAAACCACTTTTTAGGCTTATTAATATCTCTATCAATATATAATATAATTTGATAAAAATTTATATACATATAATTTAGATTGATTTAAGCTTATTCTGAATTCTTAGATTTTTAGGATTTTTCTGTATTGAGATCTAGAGCTTTAAAATATCGATTTTTTAATTTGTATGGGAATCACATACAAATGGAAAAAGTGTATAAAATCTTTAATAACTGGTTAATAAAAATTGCTAAAAATAAATTATTAAATTTTATCATAAATTTATAGTATATTTTATTTAGAAGATTCAGAAAAAATAGAAATCTTTTTATAAATAAATATTTAAAAGGGTACCCTCAAAATGACAGGGATTATTTATACTATTCTAAACTCACTGTATACTATATCTCTATATCTATTAATTTTTTTTAATTTTTTTTTTGAATTTCTATATAGATTTGAATTCAAAACTTTCAAAAAGATATACAGTTTTCTTTTAATAGTTGTTATTAAAAAGTTATTAAAGATTTTATAAAAATTTCAAATTTGTATGTGATTCCCATATAAATTAAAAAATCGATATTTTGAAGCTTTAGATCTCAATACAGAAAAATCCTAAAAATCTAAAAATTTCAGAATAAGTTTAAAACGATCTGAATTATATATATATATAAATTTTCAATGTATTCTATTCATAAATAAGAAAGTTAGAAATTCCATTTTTTGGTATGAAAAGTGATCGAAAAGTGGCCCAAAACAGGGGTGGCCCGAAAGCGACCTTAATGGCTAATGCTCATGGCTCATGGCTCATGGCTGATGGCTGATGGCTGAAGCACAACCTACTACCCCGCGCTCCTTCCCCTTCAGGACCACCAGAACCCTACCTCATGATTATGTCATCTCAATTCCAGCTTCACCAGCTTCAAAAGTCTCAATTTCGATAAGAACTGGCCCCACTGCTGCTCTCAATAATCAAGTCACGCAAGGCATCAACAAGACAACAGGGACATGTTCCACGACATGGCATTGCTGCAAATATGTTGGCGTTTCAATGCTCATGATTCTCCAATGATCTACTACATCTTATTTTCCTTCGTCCACCTCTTTTTTTAATATGCATTATGCATAATATTCGAACCACAAGAGCGAACTCGGTCAGCTAGCTATCTGCCCAGTTAAAATCAAGAGGTTCAATGAACCACGGCCTTCGACTGATTGGATTGTGTATTATCGTATTTAGCCTGCCTGAGGATGAGACTGCTATCTGCAACGTCTGCCTCTGCAGTCACAGCCTTGGACACATTCGAAAGATAACATTTGCTATATTTTACTTTCACGACTAATAAATTGGAATCAGTTCTTTGGTCTCAAAGGCTCATCTTCAGCATGCCTCCATTCAGTTATGCTAGCTTACCTCCACTCGATTCGAGCACTATTCGCCTAATTTCTCTTATGCCCAGTAGAAACGAAACCGCTGCTCTACAAGGCCAACTTCACAACTATTCTCTCCAAGATTCGGACAAAGAAACCTATTTATACGAAGCTTTGTCGTACGTATGGGGTGGCTTCGATGATCCTCTACATTGTATCTATATAGATGGGGGTTCTCTCTCCACCACAGCGAATCTGCATGCAGCCTTGCTACGTCTTCGAAATCACACTCTTGAACGAGTCATATGGGTAGATGCTCTCTGCATCAATCAGCAAGATGATCAAGAGAAAGGTCTCCAGATTCAATTGATGCCGAGGATCTATGGCCAAGCAGCCCAGGTCATTGTTTATTTCGGAGAAGCTGCGGATGACAGTGATATGGCTCTTGAGAGCATACGAGTTGCAGCAGATGATGAGAACGAACAGCCTACAAATTCATTGGCCAGCAACAAGAACCAAGAGTCAATCCTCAGGTTACTTAAAAGACCATGGTTTCAGCGCATCTGGGTATGTAAGTTTACAGTTAACGATATATCTGAAAGCGGAAGCTGGGAGTAGCGAACTACCTGTGGAATTTCTCATCCTTCCAAGGTGTTTTGTTTGTTTGGATGTATCGAATTATTCCAATAGTCTCAATATTCCAAGCCCTGAGTCAACCGAAGATCCCAATTAGTTTATATTTTCCAAATTGGTTAGACATCTGAGCTCTTTTGAATTTCCTGAGCGAATTGATTTTCGAAAGTGGTTTAATCATAGAAAAACCATCGAAAAGCATCAAGGGATTTCAATTGTTGGAAACTCTCACTATGGAGGAATACTCGAAGAAGCTAACAGGAAAATTGTAGGTTCTCCAGGAGGTCGGCTTGGCTCGAAGTATCTGATTATCTGTGTTCAGTGGAAATGAACGGGTATACGTTCTGTTCGGGTGTTAGCAAGCTGGAACGTTGGCTAAAAAAATTATTCGAATTTACAAAGTGGTGATCCGTCCAACGATCCACTTGATAAGAGATCAATTTTCCGTCCAAAGTACAACTCGAGTTTACTAGGCGATCTCTCTCTAGGTGAGCTGATTGATATGTATAATAACCACAAAGCCACAGTACGTCACGATAAGGTGTATGCCTTACTTGGTATGTGCTCTGATCATTTGAGCTCCACACTGGCTTATTGCCCGATTACACGATTCCATAGGAGACACTTTTTCGACGCCTTGTCAATTTCATCCTTCACCAAAGTGTGTCTATAGAGGCTTGGGATGACAGGGAAGCGGCCGTAATCAAGAGTAGTGGTTATGTTCTAGGGCATGTATCCTCGATAAGGAATGGCATAAATCGATATCCTGGACAGTATATAGAAGTTACATTCAACAACAGACCACTATGGTTTCAGTACTACAAGAATTATGGGGCACATTGGACACTCCAGCTTCTGCAGAATCCATTCGAAAAAACGATGTTATCTGCCTTCTAGAAGGAGCTTCAAACCCAACTATTGTTAGAGCATTCGAAGATCATTTTGGTATCATCATGATTGCAGTCAATCTACGCCAACAATCACATAAACATAGCTCTTTTCAATTGTCTATGTCCTCGACACCTGATTACTCGCATGAATTTCTACTTGTGTGGCAATGGGATTAATTCCGGGACAACATTCTTCGTCACTTCAATTGCCACAAATGGAGATCAATTCTGTAGTTCCGGACTACTTGAAGACTAATACGATCAAAGCAATGAGATCATTTGAAGTAGCACTGATCCTAAAAGACACTGGGGACCTTCTTATGGCAGAAGCTAAGCTTAAAAAAGATATTCAAAAATGCGAGGAACTGTTTGGAATAGACGATATACATATCTTATCATTACAAGAGGTACTTGCGTCAATATGCTGGAGCTCTAATCGGTGGAAGATGGCCGAAAAACCTGCTTTTGGAGGTGATAAGGGCCAGACAAGATCTCCAAGCCAAATGCCATCAAGATACTTTAAATAGTAAAATGGAACTTGCAAAGGCTTATATAGACGAAGAAGTCCTTTCCAGGCCGTCCAGAGCCGAACAATTGCGGGGTTTCAGGACAGAATTGTTGGAAGCAATCAAAAGTAATAGTTGCATCGAAGAAAGGGCTATGGTACAAGCAGCAGAGCACCTCGATGAAAGAATGTTCAAACTTTTGCTCTGCCTCGGAAGGGATAGCGTTTCAGTCACAAAAGATTTAGTGAAGGCCATATCCAAACCCATAAGAGGCGATGGAAAGATGGTTATCCTATTGGAAGAAAGAGGAATGGACAGCGAGATGACAGAAGAGATGGTACAATTCATCGCCAAGAATTGTGGCCGGAATGCAATGAGGTCATTGATGAAGAAACGCAGCGCTGATTTGAAGATTAACAGCGAATTGTTGAAGGGACGATCGCCGAGGACGGGAAAGCTGTGGAAAAGATGGAATCGCTGCTCGATGCAAGAGGCGCGGATATATGTGTTGATACCGGATCGTTGGCGACTATAGCGCGAATGCATTATCCGACATTCCTGCGATCATGGATTTGAATACTAAAAAAACAGGGGCAAATATAGCCATTTACAGAGGAGACTATGATCGCAGCAGTGGGTAATATATATCACGGAGAAAAGATTATTAGAAAGCTATTTGCAAAACAAGGGGCGAATATAACCGATATCCCTACATCTTGCACAACCCTATATCTTGCACAACCCTATATCTTGCACACTTTTATTTATCAAAACAAAAATAGATTATAAATCGAAATATTATTATAATCATCTCAAAATTATTTAATAAAAATTTTGATATTATTATAATATAATAATGAAGTTTTGAAAAATTTAAAAAACGAAATAAAATATTGATTGATTTAAAATGATATTAATTTAAAATATTAATAATTTAATAAAAGTTTATATTAGAATTCGTTTATAAGATTTTAAAATAATTTATTGAATTATTTTATATTAATATTATCGAAATAAAATTTAAAATTTCAAAAAATATTGAAATTAAAGTTTTATAAAAGTTTTTAAAAATATACATGATTTTTTTGAAAATAAAAATAATTGAAAAATTATTTTTAAAATATATTTATATATTTTAATAAAATTTAAAAATAGAAAATGATTCTTTAAATTTTATTTATAAAATGAAATATTTTAATAATGGAAAATATATAATATGTTCACAATTAAGGAGCAGGCCAGTGGAATGCATGTAATATTGACTATGTAGATTAATCGTGTTAAGGTAAAATCTAACTACGAAGTGGAAGTGATATATGCACAGTAGCTTAGAGCACGTGCCACAACTTCCAACACTCCCCCAGAGAGCTTATTCTCTCAGCTTCAGTAGTTAGTTTCTTTAAAATTCCTTTTATACACCCAATAACTGATTGCTTCGAAATTCGTTATTCCTTGATTGTAGGGTTATTGTTTTAATATGATAGATCATCGAAATCCAATCGTATGTGAACAGACCTTAAGTTTATCTGTTATTCCATGTGATTTTCTTGAAATCATTAATTTTTTGATACATTCGATGTAAGATGAATCTAATGAATCTGATGAAATAGGTGAAATAGGTGGATTCAGTGATTTTGATCGATTTGGTTAATTTGGTCAATTTGATCAATTTGGTCAATTTGGTCGATTTAGCGCACAGACCACAACTTCCAATATAAATCAATTTGGTCAATTTAGTCAATTTGATCGATTTGATCGATTTAGTTGCATATACCATAGCTTCCAATACTCTCCCAAAGAGCTTATTCTCTTTGAAGCCCCAGCATGCTCTTGAATCTCTCAAATATCACCCTTGCACATGGTTTTGTTAATTTATCTGTAGTCATATTACTTGTATTGATATAGCTGGTATTGACTAAATGTTTTTTTGTAAAATCTCGAATAAAGTGGTGATATATATTAATATGCTTTGATTGTTTGTATAGATATAGATTCTTGGTTAACACTAACACTTCTTGATTGTTTCCGAGTATTTGAATTTTGTTATTGCTTCCGATATACTATAATCGCTCTAAATCCCTTAAGAATTGGACTACTCATTACTCTTGTTTGATAAACATTACCATAGAAATATACTTAACTTCTATACTAGATATAACTACAGATATTTGCTTCTTGCTTGCCTATAAGATTGATCCACTATAAAACATTACTACCCCACCAGAGATGCTTTTTTGATCAATTCTATTACTTACCCAATCTGTATTGGTATATACTTTGATAATACATTATAAAAAATCATATTCTTTACAAATATCTGATTGAACTCCCCCAGGCCTAAAACATAGCTTCTATTTAATATTGATCTTAAATATCTTATTAAGGTTTTTGAATATAATACTATGATATTGGCAGAGTTAAATATAGCTTGTACTAATCTTTGAGACTGAATGTAATATCCGATTTAGTATAAACTATAGAGTAGATCGTGCTGCCGATTGTTTGCTGGTATTCGTTTATATCAGTAAGCTTGTTGTTAGAAGTATTAATTGTAATTAATTGTAATTCGAGATTGATATCTTTTTGAAATATGTTAACTATAGAAGATTCTGAATTGGGTAAATATTGTATCCAGATATTCTTTTTGATTTATAATTAATATTCTCTTTGATTTGTTACAATAAATATGTATTTCTAAGATCTTATTAATCTCCCCCAGATTTTTGGTATTGATCGAGCAGAAAGGTTGTAATAAAATTATTGAATATCTCGTTTTTGTATAGCAATAATAACAATATCATCTATATATATTAAAAGAATTAGCTGATGCAAATAATTGATATATAAACATGAGTCCGCAAGGCTTTATATAAACCTATCTTGATTAACTCTCTTTTCAAAAAAAGCTCCAATCTCTACCAGTGTCACGGGGTGACACTAAGCCCTTTCTGTCCTGTCCTGTCCTGCTATATAGTGAGAGTAAGAAGAACTTCCAGTTCTACCTCCTAGTCTTTTGGGCGTTTAGCTCAGCGGTAAAGCTTCTGAATACTCCCAGAGGTGATCCCATGACAACCAGCTTGCTTAGCTTATAAAGACTCTGAAGTGTATATAGAATACAGCTACAACGAACATAGACACTTTGAGGAAATGCTAATAGATTTCTTTCTTTTAAGTATAATTTAGTAAATGTATTTTTGTGACGGAAACGGTGGTTGTAGACCACGTGGATCAGATATGTGATGGTCAGGTATTCATTATATAGAATACTCCGGAGCGGAACAACGATAACCGGATCGGCCGCAGGACCGATCACCGCTTCCCGTGATCGGTACCCGAAGATCACCCAGTATATAATCCTATCTCTTCTCTACGAGAAGAGATCAGTTCTAAACTGTAGATGAGGAGATATACACCTTTTCATACTTATACCATTATTGTCCAATCATTCCCTCCATCGTGATATGCTATTGTCCTGTACGATAATTTTTTTATATGAAATAGGAACACTCGAGATCCTTCCTTATAATAATCATAAGGAAAAGGCAAAGAATATCGAGTCGAATAATAGAGGCGAAAGTTTTGTTGTAATCTTTACTAAAACTTAACTGAACCCTTTAATACTAATCTGATCTTGAATCGCTCTACCTTATTATCTTTTGTTTTAATAAGAAATATCTATTTTATTAAAACTAGATTACTTCCTTATAATAAAATGAACTCTTCCCAAATATTATTCTTAACTAATAAGTCTACTCTTTTTGAATTATAGCTTGCTAATCTTTCGCATGCTTTTTGTTTGTTATTGCTTTTTTGTATATATTTAGTATTTTGATTCCGAATATTTCTATTACTGGTAGAATGGTTTCAGTCTCTGTTGGTGTATTTTTCAAAAGAATCAAGATCTTAGAAGCAATTCCATTATTCGTTTTTATTCGAATTAGTGAATATTTGGAATGGCAATCATAGTATACTCGATTGATTCTGGTACAGATTTTATTCAAAGAGGCAAATAGAGATCAGATGATTTTGAAAGTATGTCCTTTTATATTGTCGTCATTATCTCTCTTTCTTTTTTAAAATTGTATTTCGAATTTGTTAGTATAGAAATAGATATAAGAACAGGTATTGTAAGTAATAAAGTTTCATCAAATAATATAATCGAATCTGATAGTTAGAATCAGAAAATAAAGTAATCTCAAATTCTTTATCGTTTTCCTTTATTAGTTTTGGTGAATCATTAATCATTTATCGGATATTTCCATATTTATTTTTTATTAAAGTATAATATTTCGGTTTTTGTTTGTTTTTGATATTAACAAGTATATCTCTATTGAGTCTATAATTATTCTATTTAATAATTATAATAAATTAATTAGAATAGATAATAATTCAGGGATCTTCTTAGGTCCCTATAAGGCCTACAATCAGGTTCTATATTCTTGGTACTTTATGATTCAACTATATAGTTTCTGAGTTTGAAATCCAGATCCCCTTCTTTATAGTTTTTATCAATTGTAACGCGATAAGAGCGGTAAGTATAATCTAATCTAATAAATAAACCTTTATATACTTAATAGTATCTTTTGAGTATCCAGGAATATTCCAATCCTTATTGTGTTGCGAAGTTTATTATACCTTTGTTCTATTAGGATGGTTTTGGGGTTGATATAGGTATAACATCGACTCCCCCAGATCTTGTATGTATCGATATCTAGTAATGTATCTGTAAATGCTTCGAGTAAGCTTTGATCGATTCTATTTGCATTTGGACTAATATTAGTGTGATTTCGAATGTATACATTATACTTAATAGTTTTGTCCCAAAATTCTAATAGTAAATGAGCTTTTTTCAATATTGATTTTATATTAGTTCTGCAATGCGTATATTGTGTTCAACTGAACCATTTTGATAAGATAATATAATCACTGTAATCTCTAATCGCATACCAATCTTTCATTCCCGGATGGCTTGAAGAAGCTCTGGTGTATTATTGATTCTGATAGTAATTACAGTTATTCCTATAGCAAGTTCAATTTCTTGTTTTCAGACTTTCAATAAGGGAATTGTATCGCTTTTCTATTTAATAGAATAACCTAATTTACCTTTATAATACTATTTATAATAAAAGAAAGGGGCGGCTGATGGCCCTGAGCGTGGCCACGAGTGATCATCTACATACGAAAAGGAGGCAACTTGAAGGTCAGACAAATAAGCAGACCGGAAGCAGGGACTTACTTTGGATCAATGTTAACGGGTACTCGATCCTCAATGCCTATTGTGTTCTGCTTGATCTGCTAACAATAGAATATATACTCGAACTAGAGATTGCTTTAAGGATTGGTATGGTTATTGGAGGTGATTTCAATACTAATATGATTTATAGGAACCTGGAGTAGTAACTATCAATCAAGGTGATACGCTTGTACAATAGGCTGCCGAACAGGGAATGGAGTATATCGGGACTCCTGATGCCCCTACGCATACAAAGGGACACATTCTGGACCTACCTTTTCCAACCTGATTATTACTACAAC